TTAAACCATGCTAGGTTTACAAATAGAATGGTCACAAACTTTACAAATTTACTATTTATGGTTTAAATTCTAATTTTTTATTGAAATTTACAAATAGTAAATTTGTGAAGTTTGTGACCATTGTGTTTGTGAACCAAACATTTCTCATATTTGCTCCACACCAAGGAGAGATCGTGGCTGATGTGGCTTAGCAAGGCGAGATAATATCTCATCTTTGTTGATGCTCTAAGACCATCTATTATAGTGGCATGGAGAAGGGCTTGACACCTCCTTCACGCGCCCCACTATAACCATGACACTCGAGACTTGCCAATTACCATCACGTAGTGATGACTTTTTCCCTTTCTCATTTTTTTATTTATAATTTTCTTTTTAATTTTTTAAGCAATCAAAATTTAAGAAACATTAATCTCAACTAATCAACATAATCTAGTAATCTACATCTTAACTTTATCTCTCTTTAGTCACGCCTTCCTTTAAAGCCAAATTACACATACTACATGTGTCTTTAAGTATTTTTATCCAATTTTGACATGCTGCTGATCATTAAATAAATAAAATTGATATTACATATTGATACAGACATAATTTTATAAACACATTATTTTATCTAATTGATTTTCAATGTGTGGAAAAGTTTTATCCAATTATTGGACAAAAATTGAATGTGGTTAACTATAAAAAAAAAGAAAACAATATAAATACTCAAGAATGAAGGTTTAATCTTTTTACTCACATCCAAATGGATCTTTGGTTATATTTGTGGCAACGGTTATCATTCAATGCGATATCATCTTATCAGTTTGGTGGATCACCCAACTACAGAGTACGCCGCCAATAATATTTAATACAATTAGAAATGCACTATCAATTATACGCACTAATGCAATTACACACACAAAAAAAAAAATCCATGTCGGGATACCCTTCAAATCAGTTTTCATATGCATATTCATAAAAGTGATATTTTCACTCTAAACCTGTTTATTTATTTATTTTTAAAATTGTATAAATAGAATTGGATGTTTAAAAAATTTGGAGTTGACATAAGTTCAAAAGTATTGATCTTACACTTTTTAATTTTACTACATCTCTTTCAAAAAAAGATTTCTTGCTTTAATTTGACTTTTGATAAATTTAAGAAAATTTAGTTTTGGTTGACTTTTTAATTTTGTCATTGATTAATGATAAAAATAAGATTCGATAAGTACATTAATAGTGAATAAAAATGATATGATAGATAATAATTTCTAAGGTTAAAAGTGATCTTTTAATAAGAAACGAAATTGTTTTGTAGCCTTGTAAAGCAAGAAGTACTTGTTTGTGCAACTATAAAATACTACTTCTTCGTCCCTAACTCTCATTTTTATTTTGACTTTCATGATATTTAAGAAAGATATTTTTATAATAACTTTTCTAAATTACTTTTGATGTGAGGAGTTGATTAATAGTGAATATGTATAATGTGAAAGGTAATAAGGTGCATGAATTAGTTTGGGTAAAAGTGATTTTTTATAGAAAATATAAAAATATTTTGGACCAATAAAAAATATGAAAAGAAAAAGACTTTTAGAAACGAAAGGAGTAAAAACCGGCATATCTCGATCATTCTATTTTTTTAAAATCGGTGTGATAGTGTTCCGGAATCGAGATGAACCTTTTGCTATAGTCGTCCTCTCATATTCAAATTAAAAGGTGAGCCTCATTCTCGAGGACCCCTCAAAACTCGTCGGCGGTGACCAAAGAGAAAGTGAATTGAGCTATAATCACAGATTAAGTGACAAAATTAAGGTAGAGCCTCAACGTAGTACTTGCAACGATTTTGTATTTATCATAGTTGCTTCGCAACGCAGTTACCAAGAATCAAACTTGGGTTTATCCGCCCCTTTGGCACCTCTTGCTCAACTTGCTCAGCTACACCCACTGGCTGTAACACCCCGATTCACGCAAGTTAGTGGACCAGAACGCTAGCAATTTGGTAAAGTAACATTTCATAATTAAAGAAAAATAAATTGGGTATTAATTTAGAAATATTTTAAACATGATTTTCTCAACATGGTAAAGAAAAATAATTTTTAGAGTAATTTAATTTAAACGTTGTGGAAGCTAAATAAGATTCAAAAGATTTACATGTATGGGTTTAAGCCCCAAAGTATTTCAAAATATTTAAAAACGTTTCGTATCATTCTGTCAACTCTCCTGCCTCCGCATCTTTCGGATAGACGCCATAACTTTATTATGTACGCATAGTCACACAATAAAGACGACTGTGCGCTTGGTGAAACCGTTGAGTAATACCACAACGTAGATTTTATAGAATTATTCATAAATCAAATAAATCAAGTAGTAATTACGTGAAGTCTGTTAGACAATAGATGCAACTCTAGAGGGGGGTGAATAGAGTTATGGTCTAGAATGAACGTTTTTCGCGAGAAATAAAAAAACGTAAAACTTACAGGAATAAAGTAAAGAGTAGAGAAGAAGAAGAACACCGTGATATATACTAGTTCACCACCTCGTGGCTAGTACAGTCCTCCGAGAGACTCTCTTAAAGGTCCTACTAATCTCCAAGCTTCAACGGGTGCTTGAAAGATCTTTTACAACTTGAAAACTGGAATCCCACAAGCTTCAACTACAAGACTTGAGTCACACAAGTCTTACCAACCTCAGCTCAAACTCAAAAGAAATATTGAGTTTACAACAACATAAGAATGAGAAGCTGACACAATTAAGCAAGTAGTGTTTAAATATGCTCTAATTGATGACAAAGTATTTGCACTCAAGAAAATATTTTTATACTCTCAAAAAATAATAATCTTTTAAAGAAGGGAGATAAGGCAAGAGATATATGATCAATGAGTGTTTAGAATGCTTGAATTAAAGTGTATAATGAATTGAAGGTAGAAGATAGTTTATATATGTGTAGAAAGGATATGCCCGTTGGGGCAAAAGATAAGGCTTTAGAAAAGTTGTAACGGACAAAAAATCAATTATGACAAAAGGAGGAATTGAAAATTTATTAAGAGGTTGTGCCCGAAATTCCTTCTGGGCGTAAACATGATAATCGATTATTCTCAAAAGTGAATAATACTCCCTCCGTCCCTAAATAAACTTCCATTTTTGATTTTTTGAGGATTTAAGGGAGAGATATTTTTGTATTAACTTTCCAAAAATACCCTTGATGTGATGTGTAAAAGTAAGATGTGATAGGTAAATTATTAGTAAAAAGGTATGATGTGATAGGTAGGGTATCAAAAAGTAAGGGGTAAAAGGGGTTTTTTAAGGGAAAAGAAAAGTTTATTTGGGGACAGAAAAAACGAAAGAGGAAGTTTATTTAGGGACGGAGAGAGTAGATTTTTAATGTCTGGGTGAAACCCTTCTGCGCATGAGATGCAAAATTGATTTTAGACAAAGTGGAATAATTGATTATTAGCATGAATAATGCAATAAAAGGTGCTAGGGAACTAATATAGAGGGGTGATAGGGAACCCACTTTGTGTACACCAAACGTAAAATAAGCCAAAAACAAACACAAACAAACACTCAATGTTTGTACGCTAAGACAAAAACAAGCAAACTGCATGCACTCAATGTTTGTGCATGCAAAAATATTGAGTGTCTTTATGTGTCTATTTTTACTTTAGTATACACCCATGTACACTTGGTGTACACCAAGTGAAGTTCCCCAACTATTTTTCACTAATACTCCATCCGTTCTCAAAAACACTTCCTCTTTCATTTTTTTTCACTTCCAACAAAACACTTCCCCTTTCTATTAAAAAACCACTTTTACCCTTACTTTTTCATACTCTACCTATCACATCATACTTTTTCTCTAATAATCTATCCATCACATATTACTTTTACCCATCACATCAGGGGCAAAATTGGAAATCAACTATAATTTAACACTTCCTTATTTTTGCCCCCAAATCAAATGGGAAGGGTTTTTTCAAACGGATGGAGTATATTTCATCCGTCATTTTTTAATCTTCTCATTTGAGTTTTTATAGGCTTCAATATCTTTATTTATAGACAAACTAATATTATAAACATGTAATATTTCAAAACTATTTTCAAAATTAACTTATTGATATTAAATTCATATAACAATTCAATGTATTTTTCTATAATATTAGTCAAACTTTAAAATAATTAATCATGGAAGTCAAACTTCGAAGCAAAGACGTGTTGGAAAATTGGAAGGGGTAGTAACACTACATTACAGCGTTAGGAGAATCAGTATACGAAGAACATGAAGATAAAATTGATAAACTTAGCAAATCACGTATCAGATTGAGGTCATTTCGTGGTATACCAAAATATTTCAATATAATAAAAGGCAAGTAATCTAGAACGAGAATGAATATTTTGTCTCTCAAGCATACTATGCAGTGGTTCTCTGTGGATATAGTGAAAAGAGTGATCAAATATGGCTATTATTGGTGAAAAAACATGACTACTCGTATAAACATCTGAATTTTTATTCAAATGTTCAAATATTTGCAACGATTACGACTTTAGGCGTGGACTAGTGCGTCTGATCGCTAAACATTCGAACGTTTGAATACCAACATTCAAATGTTAGGAGATCATCCACTACAAAAAAATCGCGTAATTGGCACGGAAATATAGGCACGGACGTTCCGTGCCTTCACCGGGAAAAGAAATTAACGCCACGCGTCACTATTTAATACGTGAAGGGCGTTGGCTCTGGCTTTTCCGTGCCTAAGTCTGTGCCAACACCGTAATTCTAAAACCGTCACCAGCTTCACTCGACAGCGTTAAGTCCAAAATATAGGCACGGAATTGTCCGTGCCTATGGTCGATACTAGAACCTTCTCTGACAAAGCCATTGACGAGCTTTACGTAGCCACAGATATATCCGTGCCTATAACACTGCCATTGCCTACATTAATTATGATGCACACAAGTTACGGCCGTATGCACGGATATATCCGTGCCTATAGCGCATAATTATTAATGTGTGTCAGGGTGCGCTATAGGCACGGCGAAGCCCGTGCCAAAATTCGTGCCTAAGTTAAAGAATATTAAAACCCTTTCATTCCATTAGTCTCATTTTTTCACAAACTCCCTAACCCTTCCCCATTCTCCTCCAATGCCGCTGCTATTCTCCTCCGCCCTTACTCGAGCCCGTCCTCAGCCATCTCTTCTCCCCTCCTAACAATTTCTTCTTCAAGAAACACTTCTTTTCAGGGGAGTATCCATGTCCGGGGTGGGGTAGCTTCTGCCGTTCGCTATCTAGAGGGTCGTCAAAATCTCCTTCGCCGGCGGCTACATCGCAATCCTTTTTTCAAAAAGCAAGGTGAGGGTGAGGAGATGGTTGAGTGTGGAGAAGACGGGCGTGGAGAAGAAGCGGCGGTTCCTCACACAGAAGAGTGCGCAGTGTGCTGTGTCAAACGCCGAGCACCCACGGTTCATCACCAAGTCCGATCTAAAGGGGTAATTTTTTTCTTTTGATTTTATTTTTCAAAATTTTAATTACTTTATTTTTCCATTTTTTTGTTCAGCCAGCAATTGAGCATAATTTAATTCATTTTTTTACTTTACGTAAATAATTTAATTCAATTTTTTAATAGGAGGAGGAGGAGGATGACACGCCCAATTTCTTCAAGGTCGTCAACCGGTTGTTTTTTAACAAGGTGAATTTTTTTTAATTCCCTTAATCTAAATTATTAACTTTCATCTTTAATAAGGTTTAAATTGTTTTTACTTTTTTTTTGGTAGAGAAACTGCACACAAGGAGAATTGTTAACTCAATTTCAGGGATGGAAAGATTCGGTCAATTTTTTTTTATCCAAAGCATCTATTCGTCTCAAGTTCGGACACTCATGAATTCGAAGTGCGAGCCCAAAATTCATCTAAAGGACATAATTCTAATAACTGTGATGTTAAAAGTTATTTAAATCATGATAATTTGTAACTTTTATTTTTATTTGTGAGATGAATGTGGTATGAACATTTATTATTTGTTGGATGTGATGAATATTATTTGACATTTTATTTAAATTTAATCAGTTTTGTTATTATGGTGTGAATATTAGATGCTTTTATTGTTGAATTTTGTAATATTGCCGAATTAAAATTTTTATTTTTTTATTTTTAATAATTAGGCACGGATAGTTCCATGACAAAGGGGCCAATATTTATTATTTCAAAAAATAAATTTTCAAATTTTGAAAATTTTAAAAAGCACGGAATGGTAAGAACACTCGTTTGGCACGACGAGATCCGTGCCTATAAACATTGGCGTTTTCCTTCAAACCGTGAGTTTGGAATGGTGTCGGCACGGGTAATTCCGTGCCTTTATATGGCACGGACAAGAAATCCGTGCCATAAGTTTTGGAGCTTCGAAATTTGCAGGTCTTTTCATCCGTGCCAAATTCCGTGCCTAATGCTACTGCCACGGAAAATTATAATTGGCGTCCGTGCCAAAAGTCCGTGCCAATAACGCGTGTTTTTTGTAGTGATCCGCAAGGGTTGTTTTAGGTTATCATCGAACATTCGAATGTTGTAAAAAACAACATTCGAATGTTCAATGATCTTATGCAAAAGGCGAAGTCTAGAAAATGCCTATATTCTAATGATCAATTTACACATCCGAATGTTACTACGTGTCTACGTATTTTAGATTCTGTTTTATGAGAATATAAAGAATTTTTATAAAACAATAATGTCCAGACTTGGATCCTGACCAAAAGCTGCCGTCCTCGGACCCCTACTATAAATTAAAATTTAAAATATTGTTGAACAAGTCAGCATACATCGTCTATAAAAATTCCCATCAAATCAAGATAAATTCAATCCAGAAAATTAAGAGTATGTTTGGTGAGCAAACAAGATATGAGTTTTGAACTATCAAATACTCGAATCAAATAAATTAAAAAGAATGTACTCCCTCCGTCCCTAAATAGATTACAATCTTTTTTTCTCTCTCCTCTCGATAACTTTTGTTTGTTTACGCGATTTCACTAAGTATTTGATAAAATAAAATATTCTTGTCACATCTTGTTTTGTATAACTTTTGACGTAGTTTTTTAATATGTAATTTTTATATCTTACTAATATACCAATTTGTAAATAAAATGATTTAAAAAAGTAAGAAATTTTACTCCGTAACCCGCAATTTGTAATCAAATTGGGGACGATGGGAGTATATGTTATCATATTTCTAAAATTAAGCTAATGGGCCCTAGGATTGTATATGCTCATGGCTACTGTGAAGTCCCAACATTGAGTAGTTAAAAGAAGAAATGGTCAAGTGCCATTCAAATGCTTCTTCGATCGTGTGGTTCACAAATGAAACCCAAAATTTTCGCTACTCCATGAAATTAAGTTAGCCTATCAACAAAGTTAGAGATGGAGAATAATGGTGTTTTACAACACACATGACACATGACACATCCCCATTCAACAAAACACCAAAACCGGCCAAATTAAAATCCTCACAAATTTAAATCTAAAGCAAGCAATAAAGAGAAGAAGAATTTTTTTTTTTTTAAAAAAGCTGAGACACCATTCAGATTTTATCTGGGATAAAAAAGATACAAAGAAAAATCCATGGCACAGATGCAGCGGGAGAGAGACGTTTCCGCCACCGCCACGGAGGAGGGCGTTCACGAAAGGGCGGCGGCGAGCGGCGGCGGCGAATCAGCGAAGAACATGCCGGGCAGCACGAGTAGTGGGGCCGCCGCGAATTTCAAATTCAATGTGCAGGCCCCAGAGTTCGTGCCCAGATCGGTGCCCCAACTGCCCGTTCCGGGTTATTTCTACCCGTATTTGCAGTATCAGGATTGGATTTACGTGGGCAACAGTCAAGTCTCGTCCACATTGTACAGCACTCCCAACGTGGGGCCAAATTCTCAGTATCAGAAGATTCCCATCCCAGACGAAGTTAAGCACAAGATCATCAAACAGGTAGGGTATTTTTTTTTTAAATACAAATAATTTGACTAGGGGTTCATAAAGATTGAAAGTTCACTCAGCTTTGAATCACAGCGATGGTAAAATATTAACATTTTGTGCGTCATTAGATTGTAGATAGTATGAACACATATTATTTTATAATGAGAAATTTACCTAAATAGGACTAAAACATAATGACTTTCTCAATATAGGACCATTTGTTTTTATTTCCCAATGTAGGATTTTTGGTCATTAACAAGTAGTCATTATTCAAGTAAATGTCTAGCATTACTGGACATTATTCCTCTCACGAGGTCATTATTTAGTCCTATTTAGGGAATAAAAAAGTTTAAGTCCTACATTAGGAAAATCATTATGTTTTAGTCTTATTTAGTACAAATTTCACTTTTATAATTGAACCAATAACATTCAAAAAAAAAGCTTAGCTTTTTAAAATTAAAATTGATAATCTTTTTACTTTATTGTAATGAATACATAAAATTTGTCTGAATTGATCTGTAAAAATCAAATTAGACTAATATTAAAGTGAAGTTTTAATGAAAAAGTAGTACATTTACTTGAATTGCCCTCTAGATAGCATACTCCGTATTAATTAATATTGTCGGCGTTGAACTAAAAAAATAATATTATCTCTGTCCTAAAAAACTTCTTATTTCTTTTTTAGGACGTTCCAAAAAAAGTCTCTCTTTCTTTTTATGGAAACGTTTGAGTGGCTCACAAATTTTTTATCTCTCGTGCATTACTTTCAACCATATATTTTCACTTATATTAAACTTTGTGTTAAGTCAAACTGTGAACCTTATTTGATAAAGTATATTTTACGTACAATCATCCTTAAAAATGTGATATCTAGATTTTTTGATAAACATCATACTCCGTATTAAATTACTAATGCAAAAAAACACATTTATTTATACTCGGAAAATATATTCCTTAAATATAAAAAAATAAATAGATGCGTACGTGAAATAAATAGGTGGAATACCAGCTGAGCGACATGAGCCTGTTAGCAAACGAGAATCTGGCGAAGCAAATGAGCAAGGATTCTGAGGGTTATGGTAAGTACATACTTCAATTAACTTGTAATTAAGATTTCGAAGTTACATAGAAGTGATCATTTTGTACGTGGTTAGTTGTTGTTTTAAGGCCTAATAGCTCTGGTGTTCCCTGTGGTTTGAAAATTTGACACTAATATCTCCTCTGTTTTCAAAATTTATTTCTAAAATTCCTGTAGTTTCAAAACGTTGCACCCACATTCCCTGTGATCATTTTCCGGCCATTTTCCGGCGAAGAGGAGCATTGGCGCATAATTTCTAAACCATAGAGGGCACTCGTGCTCATTTCTTATTTTTCGTTTATTATTCATGTTTTTCGTTCTTTTTCCTTTTCCTAGATTTTTTTTTAAATTTCTTTTCAAATTTTTATGATGTTTTAAAAATTTTAAAATTCTTTGTGTTTGAAATAAAAATAAAAAAATTAAAATACATTACATCTATCTCAAATTAAACATTTTCACTTTTTGTTACTTACAATAATTTTTTGGAAAGTTTAAAAAGAAAACCAGAATACAAAATAAAAATATGGAAAAATGAAATGAAAAAAATTAAAATACGCAAAAAAGAGTCTTCTACAAAAAATAATTTTTGGACATGCCTAAAAAAGTCCTTAAAATTGAGATCTCCAAAAAAGATATTCATTTTTATTTTCTATTATTTTGTTTCTTATTTTATTCCTCATTTTTTTGAAGTTCTAAAAATATACTCTCTCCGTTTCTTAAAACTCTTTCTCTTTTATTTTTTTTGTTTTTCTTAAAACACTTCTCTTTTCTATTAAAAAACCACTTTTACCCCTACTTTTTCATACCCTACCTATCACATCATACTTTTTCACTAACAACTAAACTATCACATCTTACTTTTACCCATCACATCAAGGGCAAAATTGGAAAGTCAACTACAATTTAATACTTCCTTATTTTCCCCCAAAGTCAAAAGAGGAACTCTTTTGAGAAACGGAGGGAGTACTTTTTTTCAGAAAAAACAAAAATTGTTAATTTGAGACGTACCGATACATTATATGTTAATTTTTTTCAAACAAAAATAACTTTAAATTTTAAGAACATTATAAAAGTAATTGTAAAAAACATTAATTAATAAACGAAACAAATAAAAGAAAAATGGATTAAACAAAGAAATAAGTGAGAAATAAAAAACCAGCACTGGTACCCCTATGGTTTAGAAAATATGCACCAATACCCTCCTTCTTCGCTGGAAAAATGGCTGGAAAATGATAAGAGGGGGCATGGGTGCAGCGTTTTGAAACCACAAAGACTTTAGAAATAAGTTTTGTAAACAGGGAGGTATTGGTGACTATTTTACAAACCACGAGGGTATTGACGCTATTTGGCCGTTGTTTTAAAGATCAGATATGGTTTTAATTTAATGATTTAATTATGGTGGTTGGGGTCTATATTATATGTTATAGTTCCAATAAGCTCAGTTGCATCAACAAAGAAAATCAAGTCCCTTTTAAGTGGGAGTACAAGTAACGAAGTCCTCACTCAAGCTCTGCAATATTCAACTAAGCTGGTTGGTACNATTATTCTATTTTACCATAGCTAGATTTTTTGTACTTATTTATTGAAAACAATACGATCCTATATCTTAACCTTGGTCAAGATCGTGAGCAACGATGGAAAGAAGGTTAAACGGAGACATCCATTCACCGACAAAGACAAAGAGGAGCTTCAGGTAGTTCTTCATTTGATTTCCTTCGATCACTTTGGTTATTTTGACACTGGCCGGCCGCCAGTATCATATATATTCTGACACAGCCTCACGTTTTGGCCTGGTGGTTTATGTTGGTAGTGTCGGACGGTCGTGGCTGAGAACTTACCGGACGATCACTCCCACCACAACATTGAGAAGATTTTCAATGTGGTTGGAAGGTGACATTAATTTCCCCGCTCCCATCCCTTTTCATCATTGTTCAGCCGATAATATTGTCAAGGAACCACGATATATATATATTGTGGTGCCAACCATGCATCTATACTAAAATATGTTGGTGCAATTAATGCAGTGTGAAGACCATCAGAATTTGTCATCCCCAAGATCCAAACTCGTCCCGTACCAAAGGAGAATATTTCATCAGCAATAAGGTACTCTATATAGTAACTATGCCGTATATCAGTATATATATGTAAAGATGAATGAACAAATTTGTGTTTATTAAACCTTAATTTCAACCAACTCGTTTTTAATTTGTTGTCCATTTGTGCTTTCAAAAATAAAAGTTGCACGCCCTGGTGGAGTTTGAGAGCCCTGAAATAGCCGAGAAAGCAGTGAGTTCAATCACTCATTAATAATACACACTCCATATTAATGTCACAAATTCCTTGCTCTTATTATAATGTATGTTTCAACGTTCGTCGTCGAACAGGCAGAGAAATTGAACGATGAGAGGAACTGGAGAAAAGGGCTTCGCGTAAAGATGTTGCTCAGGCGATCGGTGCGTATCTTTGCATCGAAACTATATCTCTCTCTCTCACACACACACACTTATCATGTGCAAGACATAACACACATATTAATGCTCACATGCATTAAAGTATTTCCATTTCAGTATAAAGCTAATGATGGTTTCTTGTGGGAGGCAGCCAAGATCAGTGTTAAAGAGCAGGAAATCAGAATTCGAAGGGTGTTTGGAAGATGATGATCAAGGGTCACCCACAGCTGAAGATTCTTCTCACCACCTCAATCGATCAGATTCTGTTGACACTAACGTATGTAGCGCGTAATTTCACTCAAGATATCAACTTGTTACCCTTTTATTTTAAATATAATTAATGGTCAAAGTAGTGCTTGAAAGTCAAAGTGTTGTATCTAACTATGAAGGGCAATGCTAGGGGTACACCAACATGGGGTACTCCAAGTGTACACCAAGCCAACACAGACACACACAGACACAAAATGTCTGTGCAACACATACACTTTGTGTCTGTCTGTGTTGGCTTGGTGTACACTTGGGGTACCTTATGTTGGTGTACCCCTAGCTTAATTCAACTATGAAAGATGAGATGAAACAATTGTTAACATGATGTGACTGAATGGCTCAGGGGGAGGAGGGCTCGTCGTCGTCCGCAGCTGGTAAGAAAGGGTGGGGAAAAGGGAGAGGGAAAACCAGGACGACGGCTCGCGTTCTGACACACGGTGGCGGTGGAAGCGGTCGCGGCCTTCTCCCTTTGTCCCCACAAAGTAGTACGGAGACGCCGGCGAAACAGGCAAGCAAGGGGCCAAGGATGCCTGATGGGACACGGGGGTTCACCATGGGGAGGGGAAAGCCACTCGCCGCCGCCGCCACTGTGCCATGCATTTAATCATTGATCACTCTTTTTGTTTTAATATTCTTTTGTTTTTCTTTAATTTCTTCTCGTCATTTTGGCTGGCCGCTAGGAATTGAAGAAGTACTCTGTAGTTAGTTATATGATTTTTTTGCATCCATTTTGCAGCTTCCAATAACATGTTTTTTTGATCTAGCTATACTCTCGAATGTTTTATGTTTTTTGTTCCTTAGCCTCAATGATAGGAGATAATGAAGGCACGGATGATTTTGGACATCTTATAATTTGCTTTTGTTCCATGTGCTATTATGTGATACACCTTCTATCCCCCTTTGATTTTTTGATTGTGCGTTACAAGAGAGTTGATCAACTTTATTTTATAAAACAAATAATAAAAATAAGTAAAAAAGTGAATTAAATTTGACCATTTATATGGTACCCGGAAAAATCTATCGAAAATGAAGGGAGTAAGAGATAATGAAGCCCATTGTAACATTTACATTTCCTACTTCTTCCGTCCCACAAATTTTTTGTCCTTTCTTTTTTCATCCATCCCAAAAAAAATTTTCATTTATATTAAAAAGTCACTTTTACCTCTACTAATCTTTAACATACACATTTTCACTACAAATTTATCCATCACATTTAAGGGCATTTTTGAAAATTCAACACCAAAATACACTTCTCTTAAATTTCTTTAAATTCAAAACAAGGAATGTTCTATAAGACGGATATTGGATTAAGTATATTTTTCAGAAACTTCAATTCCGATGTCCTAATGACTAAGGTTGTGCCATATCAGCCCAAGATACGGAACAAATTACTCAATTAGGCCTAAAACATAAGACTTTATACCAAAATAAAAATCTCATACTACCTCTGTCACTGAGTATTTGTTTATTTTTGACTTTTTTAGCTAACTCTTTTCAAATTTGACCTATAATTAAATTTTATATATATATATATATATATATATATATATAGATTTTGGTTCTGGTGAGAATGCAATCTTAGGAGAAAAATGAGAATGAATCTGGTGCTTTAGATTGTGAAATCTAAGGGTCAAGATTTCATCAAAATAAGATGCACCAAAATGGTGCGAAAATGCATCACGTCGAAATGCACCATAAACCTTCGAAAATGCACTATCTCAAAATCTAAGCGCAGGATGCAATCTGATCCGCACGATGCATCAGATCCGACGGCTAGATTTTATTCTCATTTCTCTCCACAAGGTGCATTCTCACGGGAACCGGCCCCTATATATATATATATATATATATATATATATATATATATATATATATATATATATATATATATAGACACACACACAGATATATATATATATATACATATATATATATATGTATGTATATATATATATTGTATATTAATTAGAAAAAATAATATTTTGAAAATATTTGATATAATAAATCTAAAAAAACTATTTTGTATCAATTTCTAATATCGTTTTTATTTTATTTGAAGTCAAAGTTTACCAATTTTGATCAAAAAAAGTCATTTGTTAACATTTTCATTAAAAACATGAATAAAATTGTATATTCACACTCTTCTCTCTCTTCAATTAAGCTTCCTCTCTCCTCTCGTTCTCATTCCCAAACCCGTCATTGAGTTTGAAGTTTTAAATCCAAAACCAAAACAATCACTCATCTTTCAATTGTTCTTCTTCTTGGTGAAACTCAAAATCAAAACCAAATGAGTTAGTCTCAAGAAATCGCAAAGAAAACACCCCTAAAACTCATCCATGAAGGTTACTGATTTCGATTTAAGAATATACCAGAAAGACAAACAATTGAGAGAGGAGTGATGATTTCGGTTTAGGGTTGTGAGTTTCAAACTCAGTGACGGATTTGGGAAAGGAGCGCGAGAGGATGGAGGAAGCTTAATTGAGGAGAGAGAGAATCGTGAAATTACAATTTTATCCACGTTTTGAACGAAAATGTTAATAAAGGACCATTCATGGAAAACAATATAATAATTAGGAACTAAATTATTGATTTTAAATATGTAGGGACTAAATATGTAAAATGAACTATAACTGAGGACCTTTTATGAAATTTCTATTTAAAAACTATATCAAAAGCTCTACAAAAAAAAAGAAATCACAAAAATATTCTTCTTTATCATATGATTAATGAAAACACACTATCTTTTCTCATTTTTAAGTACTCCGTAGCCTGGTTAGTAATATACGGCTGTCGTATAATACGTCAATACATATGTACGCGTATAACGCGTTAGTATTTTATAAGATACGGCTTACTATGCGTATTAAACGTTCAGCATACGGATATGGATATGTACGCATTTTAAAGGTTTTATATTTTTAAAATACGTCTTATTATATGTTTATATATATACATATATACCCACACACACATATATATAGGGGGCGGTTCAGGTGAGAATGCACCTTGGTGAAAGAAATAAGAATGAAATCTAGCCTTTGGATCTGATGCATCGTGCGGCTCAGATTGCATCCTACACTCAGATTTTGAGATAGTGCATTTTTAAAGGATTTTGTTGCATTTCAACATGATGCATTTTCAAATCATTTTGGTGCACCTAATTTTGATGTAATCCTCACCTTTAGATCTCATAATCTAAAGTACTAGATTCATTCTTATTTCTTTCATAAGATCGCATTCTCATTTGAACCAAAATCTGTATATATATATATATATATATATATATATATATATATATATATATATATATATATATATATATATATATATTGATAAGTCGGGTTTGGTTTGGTTCTTTTTGTTCTTTTTTAGGCATTTTTAATATTTTTAGAGTTTAACTTTTAGTTATTTAGCTTAGTTTTATTTTAATTTTCATTTTTACATTATTTTTATTTTCTTTCATAAATAGTAATACCTCCGTCCTAGAGTATTTGTCCACTTTCATTTTTACACACCTTCCAATACACTTCTTTAATCCATTTTATCTTGTAATTTATATATTAAAAAATTATAGAAATTATATATTAATAATCTATATGTTAAGACAAATCAAACAAGATCACGCATGACTATATTTAGGCTTACACATTGAGAGAATTTGATGAGTCAAAGTGCTTAGATGAACAGTTCCAAAAGTCAAAAGTGGACGAATACTCCGGGACGGAGGGAGTAATTTTTTGATCATTTTTTTATTCTATTATTTTTATTTTATTTTTCCTAATCCAAATTATCAGATATTTTATTTGTGGAGAAAAGTGTAGCAAAAGACAAATTGAAATTCAAGTCCGGAAAAAGAGATTGAATTTGGATCGGAGCCCAAACCCATTATCAAAAAGTGTTTAGCCCATCCATTTATGATCCCTCAATGATGTTTCTTCTTTGTCAACAGAGAAACGAGCGGCGAAGATAACTCCAGGGTGGAAGACCAAATCATCCAATGTCTCTCTATCAATTCCGCGTTAAATAACTCTCCAACGCCTCCAACATTACTCTAATTCTCAACGGGAAAACTCTCTCCGTGCTATGAATTGAAGGCGAATTACATCAATAGGGGGAAAAACACGAGGAAAAATGACGAGAGAGCCGCTGCCTAGCCGCCGCGGCGGTGGCAGACGGCCGGCAGATGCGAACCGGCGACGGCCAGCGATGATTATGGACGAGGATGGGCAATCTTCTTCAAGCTCCAATTTCTTCAATTTCATCTTCTTCTTCAACGAATTGATAACCCTTATTTGTCAATTTTTATTTTTTTCTCCCATTCAATGTAAAAGTTTGTTTTTTATTCAATTTTTACATTTTTGTTTGTTTGTTGTGTTAATTTCAAAAAATTCTGAAAATATGGTTGGTGTTTTTTTATGGTTTTTTTTAATATTTATATTAAATCTCTTATGAAAGAGAATTGATTCATTCTAGTTTTTCTTCAATTATTGAGCAAGTTGTTGTCGAATTGGTTAAATTGCATAATTCGATTTCATAAGTAGGTTGATATTTGGAATTCGGTTATTGTTGAAGCTATTTTAGCTCCATAAGGTAGTTAAATGAACTCTGGATTCATACATGATTCTTTGTTGTGTTTGTGTTTGTTGGTTTTAAGGATTTTGGACTTCTTAGCCCCATAAGTTAATTCATTTTCCTTAGAATTCGTTATTGAATGATTTTGTTATGTTTTCATGTGCTTCTTTGTTATTTTCATTAGGTTGAAGTTGTTTAAGCTCAAAAACAGTTCTTGATTTATTGAAAAAACGTCATTGGTTTGAGAAGTTCATGTAAATATGTGAAATGTGCTCTTCATTAGGAGAAAAAGTTTGTTAAAATGCATAAGGTATTGGTGATTTATGAATAGATTATGTATAAGAGATTAAGAGTTGAATGCATAATAGATTCTCTTTTTTATAAACTTTTTCTATAGTGGAAGTATGTTTTCATGCTTGAATGGAGAGTTGGGTTCTAAGGTATATTTCAAAACGGGCCTTTGAATTGCATGACTCCGGGCAGTGTGGAGAGTTGACAATCCTCCATGTTGTGGTTAAGGAAATGAATCGACTCGGTCTTTGATTAATTTTTCTTATTCTTAAGTGCGTAACTTACATAATATATTGTCTACGTGCCTATTATACGTGTAATGTTCGATTGTGTTTGTTCTCTTTTTCATTTTGTTTCGGGTTCTTGGAGGTGTTTTTTGAGTTACTTTAGTTGGAGATGTTGATTATCTTTAGAGCTTGTTTTCCTCCATTTTATCAAAAAATTAATAAATAAGAAAATATTAAAACAAAAAAATATGTACCCGAGTACTTTTTATTCAAACCCCCCTTTGTGTTATACTCCCTCCGTCCCAGAGTATTTGTCCACTTTCATTTTTACACACCATAAAAGGCACTTCTTTAATCTATTTTATCTTGTAATTTGTATATTAAAAAATTATAGAAATTATATATTAATAATCTATATGTTAAGACAAATCAAACAAGATCACACATGACTATATTTAGGCTTACACGTTGAGAGAATTTGATAAGTCAAAGTGCTTAGATAAATAGTTCCAAAAGTCAAAAGTGGACAAAAACTGGGGAACGGATGGAGTACTAGCATAAGTTTTTATTTACTAAGTTTATTTAATTAAGTGTTTGTTTATAAGTTATAAATATAAGTTCTTTATACTTTATTCTTAATATATTTTGAGTATGTGTTTTGTGTTTTGAGTTATATTATAAGTTCTTTGTTTTTATAAGTTATTTCTAAGTTTTTATATTTATTTAGTTATAAGTTTTATTATTAGTTTTATACGTCTTATCATATGTGTATTAGTGTAGTAGTTAGTTTGTTTTGTTTAGTGACAATATGTTTGCATGCTAAATTGGTTTGAAAAAGTACAAACTTTCCTCGTGGGATCGACCCTTACTTGCCCTAGCTATAGTTTTTATTTGAATATATCTTGGGGGTTAGCTAAGGTTAATTTATAAATTTTTAATTTGTTTTGGACCTCAGGACAAGTTTTCAACAAGTTTTATTATTAGTTTTATACGAAGTACGTCTTATCATATGTGCATTAGTGTAGTAGTTAGTTTGTTTTGTTTAGTGACAATGTGTTTGCATGCTAAATTGGTTTGAAAAGATACAAACTTTCTTCGTGGGATCGATCCTTACTTGCCATAGCTATAGTTTTTATTTGAATATATCTTGGGGGTTAGCTAAAGTTAATTTACAAATTTTTAATTTGTTTTGGACCTCACGACAAGTCTTCAACACATATATACGTCAAATCTACACATATTTATTAAATCATAGTCATCAATTTATATTAAGATAAATAAACAAAATGCAGAAATCTTTTAAATCAAATATTTACACTAATTTTTCAAACTAGAATCTCTATTTATTTAAAATACTTATTTGAATAAAATATACTCTTTTCATTAGGAAAAAAAGATCCTTATTTGATTTTCATGTACGTAGTTTAAGAAAATGTTGAAAAATATAAACTTTATGGTTTGAATTTATTTAGATGAAAAAGAAGAGTTGTGAGTCACTCATTTTTTTAAAGTCACTAAAGTTTAGAACTTGGCAAAAGTTGTGTAAAGTTTTATGTAGAATGTAGAAACTAGAAAGTATATATTTTCAAAGTGATTTAATTGTAATTAATAATTTAAAATTAATAGATATCTAAGCCAGTGATTCAATAGGAATGACCCAATTGAAGTTGGGCTGGCCCAATAAACTATAAGAATTCCATTGTAAATCTTGGATGCAAGGCATGAGAATGGGTCGGAAAAACATTCGATCTGATATCCAAATTAATTGAATTCCCCGAATCGTGGGATTGAGGGGAATTGATAACTGATTTCCTGCCATGATTGACGCACGATTGGCAAAATGACCGATAATGTAGTGCATGACACCACATACCTTGTACATGGTAGCTTTAGGCTATAAATAGGAGGCTCATCTTCAATTCTAAGGCAGATTGAAAGAAGCTAATACAAAAGAAACACAAGATCAAAAGCTATTGATACCGTTTATTTGTTCTTCTTACGCCATAGTTGTTGGCTAAATCCCATTAAATATTAATTAAATAAAAGCAACTTTACCGATCCAATGGTAAATATAATACTCCATATTAATATTGTAACAATAATTTAGTCGTGTTTTGCTTAAATGTTTGTTAGAACAAATTCGTACTAAAGTGTCGTGTTCTCCAGAGAGGGTGTATCATTTTTTTAGACGTCGCTTAATTGCGAAGTAGACATGTAGTAGTAGTGTAGTACCCAGTACACTACTAGTCTATACCCTACAGTAATTGCGCCTCCATCTATTTCTCTTGGAGCCATTTACCCCTTTCTGCAACTTCTCACCTCATTCCATGGCTTCAGCTCCATTTAAATCGACCCCTCCATTTTAAAAGTCATTTATGCTCTTGTAGTGTTGTATTCAAAGAATCAAACTTTATTTCTGTTCCTAGTGATTTCCCAAAATTGGGCATCTTTTTTTTTTTTGTAATTTCTAAAGCTTGGACCAAAATTCAGTGCGGAGGAGACACAACCCAGGAAGATCGGAATGTCAAACGCAGCGGCTGGAGACCCTCTGCAGCCGCCGCCGCCAATTGTGATCCAGCGACAAGCTTACCGGAGTAGTGCCAGCCACGGATCGGTCGGACCCGTGGTCGGGGTTCTTGCGTTGATAGCTGTTCTGGGGGCAATCGCCGTCATGATCGGCCGCCTGTGTTCCGGCCGACGAATCGCGGGCCACGGGCGTTACAACTTTGAGAGCTGGTTTGAGGCCAAATGCGCGACCTGCATCGACGGCTGGGTGGAGCCTGCGCCGCGTCCGGTGGCGCCGGAGAGCGGTAGGGCGGCGGAAGAAGCGCCTCCTCAAGAAAACAGGGAAGAAGACGAGACGGCGCGGCGGTGAACAGAATAACAGTACACAGCTAACTCTTTAAGTGGGTGGGTGGTTCACATGTTAATGTCCAGCTTTTTGTTATTCACAGAGTGCTTTTTGACTCTTTGACCACCTTTGAAATTATGAATAATGCTAAAGATTTAGAGTCACACGTACACCAAAATGGATATCCCATTTGTACACTACCAAACACAGACATCTAGTATCTGTGATCAGAGATACAAAATGTCTGTGTCTGTGTTTATCTGGTATATAAATGGAGTGTCCTGTTTTGGTATTCTCTTAGGATTATTCAAAAATTTAATGTGTCGACAAATGATAATTGGAGGTGATTTTATATATTAATTAATGATACTCCCTCCGTCCATGTATGATCTTCCCATTACGCGTTACGAGACTTGACCGACTTTATTTTCAATTCAATTTAATTGATTATAGGAGTAAAATTTTAAAATAAAATTTATATAGTAATAAACTACATGAAAAATTCTACAAAACTAGAGGTGACAAGATTATATTATTTTATGAAATGACTAGTAAAATTGAGTAAACAAAGTGAGTAAAGTTTGACCCTGTGAATAGTGTCTGGGAAGATCTATGATGGACAGAGGCAGTATTATTTTGTGTCTTTAGATCATTATTGTCTAAGAAATTAGTATAAATATGACTGAAACATAGAGAAAATATTAAAATAAGAGTTTCATATTTTTAATCCCTAAATAGGAGTTTGCACGGTGGTAATGTGACAATGTACATGTGCATTTTACGTAATGTGTATGGTCATGATTGATAATGTAAATGCATTTTAACTCTTATTTCGTGAATAAAAAATGATACTTCTATTTTGACATATTTTTAATGTTGTTATTAGGAAGTATAATTAAATTAGGATACTTCTTTCCTTTCCTACTAGGATTATTCTTTCCTTTCCTACTTGTACTTTGATTACTCTTGTATTCCCTATATATAGGGCCATATCTCTCAATATTCAATAAGACAAGTTATTATCAAATTGTATCATGGTATCAGAGCTAAGGCTCTCAAAAACCTAGCCTCTCTTTTTTTCCGACCGCCGCCCATCATGGCAGCCCCGTCGGATCCTNATGCCCACCAAAACTCTCTCCAACAAATCTCCCTTTGAAACTCTTTATAACCGTCCTCCTACATATACCCACCTTCGTCCCTTTGGTTGCTTGGTCTATCCATGGCTCCGCCCTTATACTCACCACAAACTTCAACCACGCTCCACTCCTTGTGTCTTCTTAGGATATCACCCCACCACTAAAGGGTATAAATGCTATGAACCCGTGTCTCAAAAAGTTTATATCTCTCGTCATGTTCGGTTCGTCGAGGATCAGTTTCCATATCCCAAATTGTCATCCCTCCTGTCACCCTCTCCTATAACCCCTATTTTTCCTCCAAGCCCAGGCTCACATGCTCCTGTCCCACTGACGGTCCAACCCCAGACCCGTCCCACCAGTCACGGACGACAGCCCGACACCCTCCCTATGGACACGCCACAGACGGTCCAACCCCAGAACCGTACCCCAACCCACCCTCGACCGTCACCTACTCCTCCCCAAAGCACACAACCGGTTAACCGACCCCCGCCCCAAAACACACACACCATGCAAACCCGAGCCAAATCTGGAATTTTCAAACCTAAAGCCTATACCATTACCACCCTTGATACTACCCCACATACTACTGAGCCTAGCACTTACCGCCAAATTGTATCAGTTGTATTCATATTTTAGTCTTTTTTCTTTATTCTCTATTCTATGTGTAAATCATCACTAATTGTAATTAACATGGACAATAGTGGCGAGCTCCTAGCATGGTCCTCAAATGGTTCACTACTTATTTTTCTAGTTTTTTAAATTAGAGTTCGAGTACCTTACTTTTTTATGAACCGTTGTATTAGAGCACTGGTAATACGTTTGAAGCCCCGGGGCTTCAAACCGGGGCTTCAAACTTTCTCTCTCTGCCACGTCAGCTTTAACTTACACCCAAAATTTACTGGAAATGGTTTTGAAGCCCCGGGGCTTCAAACTGGGGCTTCAAACCTTCATTTTTTACATTTTTAAATATACATCTTCTAAATTTAAATTTATAAATTTAAATTAATTTATTATTTTAATTAATCGCAGTGACACTATTGCATAAAAAAAATTAAATTCATTATAAAAAAAATTTCACATTTATAAAAAAAACATTAAAAAAATTACATAAAAAAAACAACAGTACAAAGAAATCACTAATTATTCGAACGACTAAAGATATGCTCGATCAAATCCGCCGTTAGTGCATTGTGAATCTCTCGGCTTCGAATTTCTTTGCGGTTGCGTCGCTTCTTTTCTTCGGTGATTTCTTCGTACATAGGCACCTCCTCGTCCGGGTTGTATTCACAAATCGCAGACCCGTTATCCTCTATGATCATATTATGAAGAATAATACATGCGTACATGATATTCCTCATTTTTGTCTGAGAATAACATTTCGACGGACGATCTAGAATGTGCCACTTAGCCTTCAAGACCC